AAAACATCTTATAATTGGCTACGAAACATTGAAAGTGAAGTCGCTTTGCCTACGGACACCAAAAAAAGTCGTTTTGCTGATGGACACTACCTTGAGATAATTTTGAAAACACCGAACACATTAAAATATTAATTTCTCCCTCAGGAGGAGAGAAAATAGCTATGAAATGTCGTTTTTGCCCTTGGCTCTTTCTTCATCCTCCCTCCCTTTTATTCTTTCTCCATTGAAGACCTTCATGTCCTTCGTTCCGGCCATCCCACCCCCTGGCTCGGCCACCGCCTGCACCCCCATGACGTCAAAATGAGCTAAGTGCAAAAACAACATTTCACAGCTATCCTCTCACTTATGGAGCAAAAAATGAATATTTTTAATGCGTCTAGTGTCCGCTAGCAAAATTGTCACAAACTAGAGCGCCCACAAAGCGACTATTTTCTAGTGTCCACTAGCAAAATGGCTTCACTTTTCAGTGTCCTGTAGCCAATTTTTCCTATAATTTAGAATGGAGTACCACAACTCTTTCATTGCAAACCTGATGACATTTTGGGGGGGGGTGCTAAGAGAATTCCATCCACAAGTACATTTTTTCCCCTACCAGCCCCTTCACAAGCATGAGTCTAAAAAGGAAAAGAAAGAAATGATTCCACTCACTGTCAGATCCCTACAAGTAAAAAAAGAAGATAGTTTTCCATCTCAAAATAAACGGGGAAAAGAAAATAGTCTATGAACAGCATGAATTGCAAAGGCTTTTCCTTTGTTTTGAAACAATCAAATAACGGCAGATGAGACTTACATTGTTTATACTATGATCAAAGAACATGTATGACCATTGTACAGATAGGTCCAGGTCCATCTTCCTGTTGTACAACAACTGATTCCACTCACAGAGGTACAATTAGAACAGCTAGACTATGCACTATGTTTTTTTTTCATTTGCTATATTGAATTTGAGAGTAAAGAATATGCGACTCAACAAGAAGAACAGCTAGGCTGTTACCAAAGATGGAATCTAATTTAACAGGTCATGTCGCCTCAAAACATCTCCATCGCAGGTTTTCAAGGTATTGCCATTCATTACAGATGCAAGTCATTTGGGTTAGAACTTGGAGGTGATTCGGCGACTTATTGGGTCAGCATCACATTTCGGGCTATCCATCCTCTGGTTAGCTCCTCTATATTTCTTCAATGTACTATTATTCTTCCTCTCTTGCTGCTCCAGGCTTTTTGCCTCTAATAACCTTGCTGGCAGGAAAATGCAACCTTGCATAAAGGGGCCTTGGTGCCCTCACCGTCCTATCAAAGCCCCTCACACAAACAAAGCCTGAAATTTCATGACAGAAGGCAACTAGGTATAAGCAAGTTATAGCTGATAAAACAAAGTTTGTAGTTGCTAAACATTAAGCTTGCACAATTGCTCTAGGACCTGCAAGTTTTACACAAAAGATAGAATACAGTATATGCACGAATCATGAACGCAATAGTACAAAATGTATGGTTTCTCAAACTGAGCATGGAAATCTTAGCTCAGTTGAAACTGCAAGACACAGACAAAGTGTTTGCTAGAGTAACAATCATTGTTCAGGACAACCGAAGTAAAAAAAGACCCCAAAACTACCATGTTCTTTTTTTGCATATTTTTTTGTCATATATGATGATATTTTCATAGTTTTACATTGAGAAAGAGATACCAGCACTAAGAAAATGGAAAAAAACAATAGGCATCCCAGATTTATTTGTGAGTGGACCAAAATTAATGTAAACTGACGCATTTTACGAGGGGAGAGTTCAGCTGACCAGTAGAACATTCATTGATTCAGTTATTCCCTTATAACAAAAAAAAAAGTAAAGGTAGTTGCGTTATCTGTGGGTCCCATATGGAGTCGGTTGTTTCCTATACCTTGATCTTACATTAAAAATGCTCATTTTCATTAGTGGCATCCCTTCACAAAAATTTGCCCTTATCTGTCAGATCTATCCATTTGCTGTCAGTGGGTCACAATAGCGGGCAACCTATTGGCCCATATATTATGTAAATTTACCTTTCCTATGATGTGCGAGCTTGCTCCAGCAGTTCCCCAATACCTCTTCCTTTTTTTTGGTGGCCATCAATATTGAGAGTTAAGCCTAGTGCTTCTCTCTAGTTATCTTGTTATCTAGCTTATCTTTCCGTTAAAGCTGTACTCAGCTCTTATCTTAGCTTTATGCCTAGCATCTACTTTATACAGTAGAATATGCTGTAGTAGTTGGAGAGCTTCTTGTGAACCAAGTTTACTTTTGCTATATAATGAAGCTAAGGCAGCCATGTTATTGCTGCCAGCTATTCCTAGATCCAGAATTCACTTGTGTTACCTGGCCAACAAATATTTCTCTCATCTCCCCTCAAATAGCGAGGGAGTTGTATCTCCCCCCAATGGCATGAGGACCACCCCAACTACCATTTTTCAACCAACTTTCTACTACACACCTGTGAGACCCACCTTTCTTATGGGTATTGGGGGAGATACATTGGGTGCTTCTGTAGCAAGTCCCCCAATATTCACAAAAATATTATTGGGCTACCCCAATACATATATGTTGGGGATAGATTATTGGGGAACTGGTGGAGATGCTCTTAGCTTCCAACCTCCACAAATGCAGGTCAGTCATTCACTCCTCTTACTTTTAAGATGCCATACAATTTGAGCTGTTGTGGCCATTAGTCTCCCCACAAACTAAGACAGCAATGGGTAGAGATCAAAGAGGTAATTACTGAATGATATTGGGTAATTATTATTACTTATTTTGACAATTTGACCATACTCTCAGTCTTTCCAAACTCATGCAACAAATCAAACAAATGAATTGAGAAAATGAATAAATAAGTTGAATATGAAAATAACTACCTTCAGTAGGTTTATACACGTCAAGAATAAAGCAATTGTTAGCTATGATTGTGCTACAAAGCAAATAGTTAACAATTGATGCTTGATGTGACTGAAGTAGAAAAGATGAATAAACAAATAAAACAACTAAACCTTCCATAGGTCCATGTTAAGACACTGAAAAAACAATGGTGATTGTTGTCCAAAGTTAGGGCCATGGGGGCAGTCAACTAGATGCAAGAGTGTGTGATCATATATGCATTAAGATCGCCACCATACTAATAGGTTTGCTGCCTAATCACAACTTGTTAAGACTAGATGTACTAGTCTACCAAGTCAAACAGTTGGGCCAGTAGTTTTCTTTTATCGAACACGCAGGAGAACTATGCATCTTTATATTTTAGTAAAATGGTGCCAGATGTTAGTGGGGACTTGACTTGATGATTTAATAACGTTATTAGTGATCCTATGATGCCAGATGTTCAACATTAATACCATTCTCAGAGAAAATGGTGTAGATACCAGGATTCTTGCAAGCAATAGTATATATGTGGGACTCAACTCTAGATTTGTTCATTGTAAGCATACATCATAAAAGTAAGGAGATAAAATGGGTACCTCTCCAAAAGCATTGTTGTATCTCTTCAGTCGTTAAACCTGTCGGCAAAAACATGTAATACATAGTTAGAGCTTGGTAAACACACACACAAGGAAATAACAACTATAACAACAACAAAAAATGCCCAACAAAGATCACTGCATAAACCACAAGGTAGTTCCATCCTGCTCTGAATATTTTAGCTTGACTAGGATATCTGACAACTTACTGCTTACTCTGTCAGAGGTTGTACTCAGATGATGGTTTAATCATGAACATGAACCTTGGTTATTGCTGTGTTCTGTCTTCCATTTTTAAGCTATATGTTCAATGTTACAGAATCTCATAGCCAGCACTAAGGAACAAACTCCGGGAAAAAGTAAGATGTTCATGCAAAGTCCAAAGTCTTGGTTATCATCTGGAGGAGCAAAAGTTTATGCTGAGGCTTTTGGGAACTTGCCGGATCCCATAAGCCTCAAGAACTAGGCCTAGGTTGTAGTGGGGGGCTTGTTTAATCAGCTGTTTGGTCGGATCACTATTTTTCTATCCCAGGTGATTGTGTTTTTTTTTCCTATTCTGTACCGCAACCCCTCTGTTCTCCTAGGTGATCAGAGTGGTTGCTTGTAAGGGACCAGTTTGTCCTCTCTTTAATACAAAGGTGCAGCCCTCGTGCGTGTTGGAGAAAAAAAAAATACCTCTAAATATTGTAGGAACTGAGGTTCCAAAGTAAACAGTTCGTCTTGGGAGGTCCCATATCCAACTTCGTGGGACATCAATTGGATTTTGGCTTGAGTAATGGTCAGCAAATACCTGCATAATGACATTTGTACCACTGATAAATCTGATGGGCCAAGAGTCATTTCTTCTACTGTATAGCAAAAATTATTACATATGATAACTAATGTTCACCTCATTAACTTGAAAATACGTCCCATTAAGTGGGAAGCTTCCTCTCATTGCTGTTCGGCATGGTATCTGCTTAAATTTGACCAAACAATGAGCACTTTTAGTTTATAGATATATATAATACCCAACACACAAAAATTAATAAGACTCAAAGGAAACTTGCCAAAAGTGTTCCTCTGACTTTCTGAGCCTGCATTTCTCGTATGCTGTTGCAACTAAAGCATGTTGAACTTCCACATAGTCTACCAGTCTCCCCTGAATCACAGAATGTCTTGGGTGCATCGGTTGATTGTGCGGTTTCACCTGTTCAATTCTTGAACATTAGAGGAATTTAGAGGAACAAAGGGTTCAAGCAAATGATCTTGCCTGGGGTCCATATGGAAAGAAGATATTGACAGGGATCATCTGGTTCTCTGTGTTCGAACTGCGAAGATACAGACAAACCTAAATTTGGGATGAATATTCAACACAAAAGCAGTGTTTAGTTGATATCTACTGGTAACTTACTCCTTCCAGAAGAGGGTGTGAATCTGGCAGTTCATAACTGCAAGCAGATGAAAGTAAACAAGTTAAAAAGATAGGTGTGGACCTCATCAGTGATACAGATAGTACAAGAAATGAAGGAACTTAAGTTATTATCAATGACATTCAATTTTATCAAGGCCAATGTCATACACTTGGTGTTCTGTCCTCAGACGACTGACATTCTTGAACTTTGGAGTTGGAATGGAAGCAGCATCAGGGGTGATGGCAACCAATGCCTTTGACATGTCAGCATATTCAATCTCAACATTGTTTGCTTGCATATAGTTCTTCAAGTTTTGTGTAAACTCCTCAATATTAAGATTAATGGTAGGAATTTCATTAGGGTCTTCACAAAAGAAATCCTCTATTGCACCCTCCTTTGCCTCTACATTTTCAGGTTCAGGTTCTGGGCTCAGTGGTTCCTCAATGATTGGCTGATGGTTATCAGAAACAGCATGCTTAGGATAATTTGCACTCCACTCAAGTTGGCCAACAGTCCCTGAATTTATGTATATTTGGTGACAAAACTCTACAACATTTGGATCTTCCGATGTAGCCAAACGTTTTTCTTTGGGTGCAGGAAGAGCAAGCCTAGCACTGTATTCATAAAAGAGTGTTACCAAATGTCTCTCAATGTGCAGTATTAAATTGCAGCCCACAAAATTTTGAAATTGACGTAAAAAAGAACAGTATTCCAGTTAGTAGAAATGGACATTTCAAAGCACAGAAAATGCAACAAGCTAACGACTTCTTTGTTTTTCACTAAATGCAACAAACCAGTAACTTTTTTAGTTTTTCACTAAAGTCAATTATAACATTAATCAAAAGTTCAAAATGGAGTGAACTAAGGCTTGCTGGCAATGTCACAACTATGGTTCGATAGCTACAAGACATTCTGGATACGAAGTGAATTTTAGCAACTGCAAAAACAGAGCAAATGACTTTTCCCTGAAAGGAAGCTCACTCTTTTTCGTAAACTAGGAGTGAATTGAGATTTGTCTATAACAATGTAATAACTTTCTTGATAGCTAAAAGATTATCTGGAATGTCAATATCATGCCATTCACCGTGTTGATAAATACGTGAGAGAATATCCAGTCCTCCTACTTAAAGTGCCCACATGCTCCTGCAGTAAGAATCTATAAAAGACTAGATTTGAGGGGGGTCACGTCGCGGTTAACTGTTCATACGACGCCCTCACATAGCACTGTACCGCCTTTTTTATCGGATCTGCGATGAACAGTATCCACCCGATGATCAACAGTACCTTTTTTTTTTTTACACGTTTTTTTTCCTCTTTTTTTTCCTTTCCTCTCCTTCCCACGCGAAGCGTGGGGGCGCACGCTAGTTACATCTAAAAGTGCATGGAAATATTCAACAAAAATATGGGTACATAAATCATGCAATCATCTATACTCATGCAAAATTTGAGCTTAAACAACATTTTGTGCAAGGAGAAACAAAAGACAAATCAGCATGTCAACTGAGGCAGGTTGCAGATCACACATGCACAGTCCACAGTTGCACCTGCATCAATTGACATGCTGATTTGTCTTTTCTTTTTCTCCTTTCACAAATACTATTTGTTCAAGCCAAAAAATTTGCATGAATATGGATGATTACATGATCTATACATCCTTATTATTGTCAGAAACTTTCATGCACTTTTAGATGTAATTTTTATTCAGGGGAGCACAGGAACACCTAAAGAGATGGGAGCACCAGATATTCTCTCGTAACTACACATATCAGTTCAATGCAACAACTAATGAACAGTACCCCGCATATATGTAAAGTCTAAAGAACATAATTCAGCATGTCCATTAGCTGAATAACAAGGATCTTGCATTTCCTGGAATTACCTTGCGAATGCACTAGCAAAGTGCTTACATTCAGCTCTCATTGGACATGAATTGCAATTAGGCTTACTTTTTGTGCAGAAAACCTAAAAGTGGACCATAGAGAAAAGGTATGTCAATTCATAGTAAATCAGCCCGTGTTAGATCAATTTTTTTTTTTTTTTGGTTTCATGTATCACCTTTCCAAAAGTAATCATTTGGTAGTGAAGCTCATACCTGCATATTGGAAGGCATATTGAATCTAGCCAGCTAAATATAGTATTAAAAGTATTGATTGAACTAATCTTACAATGTACGTTGATCTAGCTTGCATAGTCGAGGCCAAAGGTACTTCTGTATTTGTTCCAGCATGGGATACCTTCAGTGGTAGAATATCAGACTTATGCCACATATGCACTCTGGGTGATCATGTACATATAAAGAACTATAGAGAATAACGATACATACATTTCCAATAGGTGCAACTGAAGAGACTCTGGCAGTGGTTGAAGTGGCACCCATCCAAGCCTCACACATATCCGACCAACATTTGTGTCCACCTAGGGAATCAACATACAGAGCTTCAGAATAAGGAATATACTTGAAAAAAAACTTTAGGAGGTTGATCAACAAAGAACATACTGGAAAAGCCATATGATGTAGCGTCAAGAGGCGAACGCACTCAACACTTTTGAGTCCAAGCCCTCTAATGCTTAGAAGGAAGTCCCTGGAAGAATTAGAAGAAATGTGTATGGCATATTAAAAAACGGCAATGACACCTTGAATGAAATATTTAGCTACTGACATGATTACAAAGGTGATGTGCATGAAGTTTTTAGTTTTCACTGTCCAATTTGTAGTTAATACTTTGACAAGACCAGCTAAAGATTGCATTGATGAAAAATTTACAGAAGCCTGAATCAATGTCCTTTTTTCATGATTTTAATCAGTATTACTTGTTGGACACTTAAACTCTTCAGGTTTGGTTGTAGTGAAACAAGCAGTAGCATCATAAATTCATATGAGTGCTACAAAGGGTCTTATAAGATTAGGAACTCAGTAGTTCATATAATCTTCTCAGTGTATTCCACTAGACTTACTTTGCTTTGTCCGGTTGAACATCTCTTAGCCATTCAAGATCAATGCTTCCATGGTCTGTCACCAATCGGTTCAGGAATTCCTGTGCAAAGGTGGTCAAAACTTTAAAATGGTTCAAGCTAAATATTGTAGTGCAAATAAATATCAAATCAAAATATCGGTGCATGCTTGAACAACAACAACAACAACAACAAAGCCTTTAAGTCCCACACAAGTTGGGGTAGGCTAGAGTTAAAACCCAGCAGAAGCAATCAAGGTTCAGGCACGTGAATAGCTGTCTTGTCTTCCAAGCACTCCTATCTAAGGCTAAATCTTTGGGTATATTCCATCCTTTCAAGTCTCCTTTTATTGCCTCTACCCAAGTCAACTTCGGTCTTTCTCTGCCTCTCTTCACATTACTATCCTAGCTTAGAATTCCACTACGCACCGGTGCCTCTGGAGGTCTCCGTTGGACATGTCCAAACCATCTCAACCGGTGTTGGACAAGCTTTTCTTCAATTGGTGCTACCCCTAATCTATCACGTATATCATCGTTACCATCTCAACCGGTGCATGCTTGAACAACTAGAACTTTTTGGAGAGCTTTCTTCTACTAGATTTACCTTTATCCGTTCTGCTAGCACGTTATTCATTCCTCTCTCTCTGATAGTTTCAGATATTTCCCGCACTTCTGCTTGCCTAACTGCCTCCCAATCAACAGTATCCCTTGCATCATGACTTCTTTGTTTATCCCCACCATTACAAAGCACTTCTTTTCGTAAACTGTCCCAGTCATAAGTTTTCCTTTTAGGTCGGCCCCGTACCTTCTTAGCTTTTGATCCATTTTGTTGAGCTTCTGACGGCCCCTTTTGAGTATCAATGAAATTCAGTGTTGAGCCTGAAGCAACTCCTTGCAAGACCTCTGAATGAGAGTTCTGGTTTTCACACAAGGTTGAAGATTGATGTCTTTCATGTGATGCTGTCTGAATTCTGGCATCATTGTCCTGTTGGCCACATCCTGATTGAAATTGTTCAGCACCCATTTGATCTGTTGAGGTAGTGTACACCTCTTGACGATTTGAATACACAAGTGGTTCCACAAAAGGAGCTTCATTTCCACAGGAAGAGTGCTCCTTGAAAAATGGCACTTTGTCTGAACTATGTAATGGTTGGAAGTTTTGTTTAATTACTGGTGAAAAGTTGCCTTGTTGCAAAGGATCAGTGGGGTAAAGACTAGCCTCAGATTGTGTAACACTGGAAAGATTCACTCTATCAGGGCCGGTGTGGAATGATTTATCCATATGGCTGAAACATGACACACCTGTGAAATAAGACTCGCTATTCTGAACATAGGGCATAGAAGTATGCAATGGCTGATATGATCTGTTTAGATCAAGCAACACACCCTTGTTCACACCTGAAACTGGAAGAGGATTAAGTCCATAATATTCTGATAATCCAAGCATGCGTTTTGGATCTTGAATAGGCAGAAATGCTGTGTAGTCAGTTGAGCTGCCAGTCCCGTTGGATATATTTCTCATGATACAGCCCTCTTCGGTGAAATTTTGCAACGAACTAGAACCTATTGGATCGATTCTACGAAAGAGGTAATCTGGGGAATTCTGGGAAGAAACAGCAGAATTTCGAGAAGAAATAACATCCTCCAATGATCCATCTTCAGTTTCTACCACACTTGACAAGCCGGTGGTTGGAAAAACATATCCTGATAGCCCATTTCCATGGGATCCAGTTAGTGACTTCCTATAAGAGACATGGCATCCTCCAGTTGCACAGTTTACTCCATACCCGGCAGAGCTTCCAATCAATTCGTTACTATTACTTTCTTCATTATCTTCTGTAGTAATTAATGATCTAACGTCACTTATCTCTTCAATGGATATCTTGCCCTGCAATTTGATAGAATCACCAAACAGTCCAGGACAACTATCCTTCTGTTCAGGAGGAGTATGAGACACCTCAGCCACAGGTTTTTCAGGGACCTCTGTCTTAGCAGGAAATTTGGCAGCAACCCCCATGAAAGCAGAACTGAAAAAAGAAAAGGACTAAAATTGGTATATATATATATGCTAAATTTCACAACATATTCTTACTTCAATTAGGCTACTAGAAGTGTATATTTCACCTAGAAAGATGATCTGAAACATTCTGGGTAAGAAATACACCCACAACTGAGTCCACGACTGATCCTTTCCATCGAGAGAAACGCCTGTCCCCTGTAAACAAATTAGATTATATAAAAAGTTAAGTTTTGCTGTGAAAACAAAAACACATGTCCTCCGTCATCTCACACACACTACGCATAGAAGATCCACATCTTATGAATTATTACAGTGCCCCATGTTACATTGTGAATCACTGTTTAAATGGACTCAGGTATGACCCTTTCATCACAGACTAATATGGTTTCTGTTCTTCTTCAGTCTCCAAAATGCAACTGCGGCTATCAAATTTCTATAACCATACAAGCTTACTATTTGTCTATTTAGTGCAAACTTAATATGATTTTTTTCAAGTTACCAATCCGAATATTTTCGAAATATAGATCAACGATTAAAAAGGCCTGACTGATGGAAACAAGAACCTGAGATAATGAGTACAGAATATAGAAAAGGCATACTAGAAATATAAAATTGAAATGGTTTCCATACCCTGAACTAGATGCATACGAGCAATGAATGAATCAACCCGTCCTCTGAACACTCTTCTTTCTTCGTCAAGCCACTTCTCTTTATCCTTGTCCAACCCTTCAGCACCATCACCCATATCTGGCCCCATTAATAAGTTCCACATCATAGTGGTGACCGGATCTATGTTCACTTTGGCCCGAGAACAGCTTTTCTTTGTCTTCCCCTCAAATGCAACCAGTGCACCAAATTCACCTTCATAAGGAACAAGAGCATTTTTGGGTACCTCTGCCACAACCTTGTCTGGTCCGTTTATGCTTAAGAGCTTAATCTTTTGAATTATGCCATCTAAAGGATCAACTGATGCTGCTGTAGCTTGAGGAATGACACCTCCATGAATCTCCTTATCTTGGTCAGAACTTTTCGACTCCACAGTTGACATCCTAGGAGTAATTCCAGTGGAAGGTTCAGAAGCATAAGTAATACCATTGAGGTTTACTACTTTTCTTGGACGGCCCCTTTTTCTTGGCTTCGCAGTGATGTTTGCTTCTGCAGTTACTCTAGAAGAGTTAAGATTGTAGTTCCCATTTGTGGTTGGTTGGCTTGCTCGTTGGGTAAGGGATCTAACAACTTCATCACTTGTAGTTCTGATATGCTCATCAGCAGTAGTAGCAATGCAGTGGTTATGGCCCTCTTGACTGGAAGCATTGTGTGTTTCAGACAAGACTGGCACCTTAGCCACAACGTTTTCTAAGCATTGATGTTGATGAATAGCATTACTCTGAATATAGTTTTCTGTGGATGGATTCACTGTGCCGCTCGATAACTGTGTGTTTCCTGTTGTTAAGTATCCAGACCATTTATTTGATAAAGCAAAAATGTCACTAGAGTGATGTGGCCTAGATGTAATTTCCCAAGGTTGAATTTGATGCACTCCATTCCTCAGGATATTACTCTCTCCCAATTGGTTTACAGTACTGCCAGGCAATGGTACGTTCTGTGCAGTGAAGCTTCGGAACTGTTTATTAGGTAAAGCAATAAATCCTTTGTCAGTAATATTTTGCAGAGAAAATCCAGTACGTTCATGGATCATGTTGTTCTGTGACGTAACAAAGTCAATCATTTGCTGGGAAGCTTGTGATTTCTCAAGGGCCATCAACCTTTGTATGTCAGCCAAGGTACCAATTCCAGGGTTCATAGCTGAAACTTTATTTGTGTTCGAACCATCAGAAAATGCTGATGAGGAAGAAAGCTTTCCCGTAGTTCCGTTTAGGTGATTGCTATGATCCTCTGGTCTCATCCTTTTGCATGCTTCAGGATAATAAGATGTTTGGGAGCTAGTGGAAAGGGGGTCATCACTACAGAACTTCCTTGTTCTATTTGAGTTAATAAAGTCGATGCCAAAAGAAATCTGATGACCACTGGTAGCATTGTGTTCTCTTTTTTTACCCATTGCAAGAACATCTGAATAGCCTGGAGAATCATGAAAACCAAAAGCTGCTCCAGTTTGGTAGTTACTATTGGTAGAAAACTTCAAGTAATCATTCTCCACAGAAAACTCGTTCAGATTTCCATTCATCACATCCCTTTCATTATGCTTGGGAGGTACAAATGGAATTTCTGGAAGTCTATAGCATTGAGCCATTTGTTTGATTATTGCGCCTTCGGCTATACAAGCTTCAGGATTGAAATTGCCCCCCACTGACACCCTTTCGGTATACTGAGAAGCTGCTGCCATATTTTCTGGAATTCTATAATTACTAAGCATCTGATAATGTATTGGTGATTTTTCTGTACAATCTTGAGATGTGCTTATGTATTGGTCAAAATTCGCTGATGGGCGTCGCATATGATCTACCGAGCTGGTGAGATGAGAGACACATCTAACTGGCAGACTAGAATTAGAATCCAGTAACTGATTTGTTTGAACTTTTTCTCTTAAACCAAACTGGAAAAATTTTACAGAGCTGTCCATTAGACTAGAATAATTGGTTGGCATCTGACTTGCTATAGAATTGTTCAGATCAAAATTGACTCTTTTAGGCACGCAATCTGTCCGTACTCCTTGTATATCAACTATTGGGTCAACTGAAATAATAGAACTTCTTGTACCACCCCACTGGCATGATACCTGGACATTACTTTTTTCAACTCCAGATATTGATGGCTGTGTGTCCCCAGGACAAGTCTGTATCTCCGTTTCCTGGGTTTGTGATACCAGATCCAAATGTCCATGCTGGTCCTTTACATCAAAGTCCAAACATCTTTGGGCTACTCCTGGTTTAGCTCTAGTGTGTGTATCAGCACCTGCTGATGGAATTTGTTCAGCTGGTGCGCTTAGTCCCTTCCTCCTGACATAATTCCTCTTTCCAGTAGGCTGATTCCCATTTTCCTTGGGAGGCTTTTGAGTTTTAGGCTTCTGCAACGTTGCTGATTTTCCTTCTTTAATGACCTTTGGCCTATGTTTTTTCCTCTTAGGTTTTTGAACCAATTTTCCATTAATGTCAGTACCTTCAACTGCTCCAGCATCATTAACAGCTTGTGAGATAGCAGATAACTTTTCAGATGTCACAGGGGGGTTCAATTCTCCAGTACCCAGCTCAATGAAAGATTCCACCTGAAAGGGCACGGAAGAAGTTGCGAAACACAGATTGATACCATGAGGTACATGCATCCTTTGCCCTAGACCCTCCTGTATATTTCTGTAACTTATGGTGCCAGTCACATTGTTATCCAAATGAGGTGCATCATATCAGCCGACTTCACCTGTGAGAGTCATGAAGACACAATACAGTCACATAATATTCAAAATGTCACAGTTTATATTATGAAAAAACAGTACAGCGAGTCAGTGCACTCGTTACAACTTGAAACATCAATGCAAGAGACTCTAAATAATATCGATGGTTCTCAAGTTTTGTTTAGCTTGTTGACAAACTCTAACTGACTGGAGTTGGCATGATCACTTTGACAACATTTCAGTGCTTGAGGAGGTAGCAGAAGGTGCCACCACCAGTTTCTTGAGAACCTTTCTATATGTGTACAAAATAGAACTGTACATATAAATTGTGAACTATTGACAACAGAAGTTAATATCCAATTGTATCCAACTGCTGCTATGGTCCACTGTCCAGTGTCCACTTCTGTTATTGTAGGAACATCTGTTTTGTATCAACTGAGTAGGAACATCACTTGTGTATCAACTAAGGTATGTCTATAGGTCCTTCTCTCTTTTTATCTAATGTATTCAGCATTTCAGCTACTATATTTATATAATTTATTCAGCTATACACGATGAATGCAAATTTAGCAAAATGCCTAGGCTCGCCTAGGCTCTAGGCAGTGGGTCACCTCCTAGCGCCTTTTTGAACATTGCATATAATTATTACTGTCCAAGCCTAAAGTTTTATGTGTTTGTGTATTTTTTATTCTACTCTTAGGATTTATCAAATTCAAGTTATTTGTGATTCTATTGTGTCTGCTTTATTTATTCGTAGACTGGTTAGCTGTGCAGTAAACAAAATTTTTGTGGATTCCAATTCATTTCACTCATTGGATTGTTTTAAACTGGAACATCTGGTATTTGTTGAACTATTTAGTTATTCACAGAGCAAACATCTGCTGAAAAGAAAACATATGAAAGAAATTTGGATTTCCCTCGAAAAGTGTAGAAAGGAACTAGTCGGCTAGTGAGGAACTCTCAACCATGTGGCTCGGATTATAGAATCTTTTGAATTCATATAAAGGGAAATTTGGCTCGTGTATCAAAATGAAGGCCGCTCATTATCAAAATTGATATATACAGTTCAATAAACGAAGTCAGTCACTGTCAACAATAATGAGAGGGTCAGACATATCCAAGTTTTGCACCCATCGAAGTGGGGGCATTGGCTAAGGACAACAAAAGCTGGGGAAAAGCAGATGCAAAACCTATTATGGCAGCTGGTATGTTTATGCTGACTCTGGTTCTCGTGTGAACCGAATGCTATGGAGGCATTTTAGTTTCTTGTAGATGTAAGCTACCATCAACAGAGTAAAAATGAAAAGAGCAACACTTGTTCTGCAAATTGCTTCTTATTGGTGGTTTAGTATATTAACTCATTTTATTTTATTTTATTTTTTCCGTTTGTTAGTAATGTTTTATTCAGCTAGACTGCAAAGAGTTGAACTTCAGGCAACAAAAATAGCTTCATTTCATTGTGTTTAGGACTATATAAATCATAGCGCAGGTCCAAGAAAAAAATTAGCTATTTAGGGTGTTACAGATTGAAAGCAAATCTACAACTGCGATCATAATCAAAACATTCTTCATATAAATCTCGACACGTACATTCCAACCCTAAACACCGGAACAAAAGGATTTACGTGACGAACACAGACAGGCACACCAGATCAATCAATAACAGCACGCATGCCGGACGGATCACCAGAAATGGGAAAATCGGGAACAGAGGACGGGAGAGAAGCTTGGTGGGACGCGAGACTCACCCGCCGGCACTGGAGGCGGGGAGGGGCAGGCAGAGTGGGAGGCGGCTCCGAACTTTGAGAGGCGCGTCGAGGTGAGAGAGGGCGATGACTTGCTGGGGACGGACGGCGGCGGGGTCGCTCGGCGAGGGGCGGACGTCGTCGGGGTCGGTCGGCGAGAGGGCGGACGGCGGCGGGGTTGCTCGGCGAGAGGCGGACGGCGGCGGGGTCGCCCGGCGAGGGGCGGACGGCGGATGGCGTCGCTCTGCGAGGGTGCGACGGCGGCGGGGTTGCTCCTCGAGGGTCCGACGACCGACGGTGCTGCTGCCTACCACGATCCACGTGGAAGAAGTATTGCATGGTTCGCTTGGGCCGTTGGATGGTCTTCGGAAGGCTGAAAACGTTTCAACTGCATAAGTTGGGCCTGTAAGAAATACAAGAGTTGATTATATGAATGGTAATAAAGAGTCATTATTAGCCCTTGTTTAGTTCCACCCTAATTTCCAAAAAGTTGCTACAGTACTGGATCTCAGGGCCTGTAAATGTGAAATACAAGAGTTGATTATATGAATGGTAAATTGCGAGAGTTAGTCATGTTTAAACACTATTTACCAAATAAAAGCGTGCTTAATGGTAAACAAGAGCTTAGTGCTTAATGGTAGTTTATTAGTTGCATGTATTGTCCCTGACTCTCTTGCACGTGGGACCATTAGTCTACGGAATATATCCACCGACCCCTGTTACACGCATACATGTTTCTAGGGGTGGAGCTCTGACCAGCCTCATGTTGTGGCGGTAGAGGCCGGCGAGAGCACGCCTAGGGAGAGGAGCAGTTTTCGCGTGGTAGCGGTAACGCCCCGTTGGTTTGAACTTATCAGCTTGACTTATTATTCATGTTATAGTGTTTTTCTCACAATAAATCCATATTAACCGATTTATCAGCCGCAGAAATCATTAGCCGAACAGCCCTGATCCGTAATTCTTTGTATAGGGGTCCGTTCGCACCGGACGCTCCAGATGGTGAGCCGCCCATGCCAGCCTAACAACCGCTCCTTTATGTGCTCATCCATTCACCCTCCCTCCATTATTCTAAAAAAACCTCACCTCATCGCAGCGCCGCGACAGGTCTCCGCGATACTGTGACCGCGCTCTCCACTGTGCCTCCCTCTCCACCGCGCCTCTGCTCCGCCAGGATCCACCGCGCCGAGCGCAACAGCTCGTCTTCCTCCCTCTCCACCATGCCTTTCGCCCCCGTGGCCTTTTCTAGAGCGCATGGATCCGCCGCGGCCTTCTCCACTGAGCCTGCCCCTTCTCTCACAGGAGCGGCGAGCTCTACGCCACTAGCGAGCTCCATATCGGTGAACTCCATGCGCCGACGAGCCTCCATTCCGAAATAGCAAGAAGATATTGCACTAAAAAGCGTATGTTAAAAGTGCAATTAAGCCCTAATTGTGGGTTTTGGTGATAATGACCACGTAATTAAAGAACTAATAAGATTTATCGAGATGACAAGCAGGGAATTCATGTTCGAGGATGCTACACGAAATGGAGGAGCCCCCAATTACAAATGTAGATGACTTCAAACTCAAAGGAGGTTTAAATTTTTTATATTTTAAATTTGAGTATAGGAAAAGTCATACTATAAAGGGGACACAATGCTTAAGCTAATATGTGCTACCAAGTTCTCAAACATACACATTTATTCTCAGATTCACAGCCAAGACAGTGTACACTTCACTCTTACCCTTGTTGTCTTGCATGGTGCGGTATTGCCGCACTTGTAGAGAGGCACTGTCACAGTGCGGCACTGCCGCGCCTTAAGTGACCGTTGGGGCTGAGGGGGTATTTATACCCATCCTCTTCCTCCCAACGTCTCTCTTCTTGCTCCTGCTCATTTCAGCTGGTTCAAAACAGAAAAAGAGCTCTCTCTCTCTCTCCTCCCATTGTTGACCTCAAGCCCCCAAGCAAATCTATTGATTTCCCCATCAATCCTTAAGGGAAAAAGGTCCAAAACTCGATTAGAGAGCAGCTCCATTGATTCCTCAACTCGAAAGAGCACTTGGTTCATGTTTTGGCCGGCGATTGTGTTTGTTACTCTTGGAGCTTGGCTCCTGGTCGGCTAGAGCGTCGCCTATGGAGCTTGCCAACTTGTGTGGCAGCCCCGGAAGATTTGTAGTCATCTCTTGAAGTTAGTAAACTCACCCCTTATCTCAAGAGTTAAGTCTCTTGATTTGAGAACGAGGAAGAGTTGGAAAGCCCTAAGCCTTAGTGGCTAACCTCAACAACGTGGAGGTAGGCAAGTCTTGGTGGCGAGCCGAACCACGGGATAAATCATTGTGTCATTTTTGCTTGATTTATATTACTTGCATAACATATTGTGATTGGGGTGATTTCTAGGGTTTCTATTCGATCTACTTGTGTGTGGTGTTCCTACCACTTCTAGCTCTTGATCTGTGATTGTCATACCTGCAGTAAACTAGGAAATTTCTCCGGTCTAAGTTTTCATTCATAGATTTTGAACTGTGACTCAAAGTTGTCTATAGGTGCGGTAGTGCCGCTGTTCTGGCCCGGTAGTGCCATAGTCCGGCAGTGCTGCCCTCTAGAGTGACAGTGCCGCAGGGTGAATTTGATAAAAGTTTGAGTGTTTGTTTTGATAGGCCTATTCACCCCCCCTCTAGGCCAACCAGAGATCCTATAAGTGGTATCAGAGAATGTTACCTCATATACGCTTCACCGCGTGAGGTATGGAGCTCGGAGGAGGAACTAGTAGCGTGAAGCGGGTGGATGTCAATATGGACAGCAGTGAGCTGAGCGCGTCGACAGCAAGCAACACCACACTACCACATCTTGAGGCTACCGATGCCGAAAGAGCTCTCGATGGTAATGAGAGAAGAAGAAGGAAGAAGATAAGAAAGCTAAAAAGAGAAGCAAGAGAGAAGAAGAGGAGCAGTGGTTAGAGGAGAAGAAGCAAAGGAAAGAAGAAAGAAGGCTCAAGAGAGAAGCAAAAAGAAAAGAAGAGAAGCTAGAAAGAAGAAGGAAGAAGAAGAGAAGGCAACAAGTGCATCATCAAGCATATCAAGTAGTTCCGAAGATGGAGATGATAATGAGTCATACCAAGTGTCGAAGGGGAACAAGAAGGAGAAGAAAGGAAAGGGCAAGGCCGACAACAACAAATATGTCGCCGTATCCTTTAACTATTTTTCTATTCCT